ACAGGCCAGAGGCTCAGGGGCGGTGAGAGGCTTCACCATAGACAGAGCGGGGAGCAGAACAGGCAGATCGACGAAGTACACTGCTGAGGGGAGCAGCGGGCGGGTCAGGAGAGGTCTGCCACGCCATGTGGTCACCTCCGGGGCAGGCGGGAATCGAACTCATGTGGAAGCGGTTTTAGATTCTCAGTGCTGTGCTTTAACCCGCTGCGCCACCAGGGAGGGCCCTATAGCTAGTTTTTAACTGTAATATTCTGATGAAATCTATTTTTAGTGTCATGTTGATCATTTTAAAATTTAATTTCCCCCTCGTATTTTTTTTTAAAGATTTATTTATGCACACAAAAATTGGAGTGTAGGCCAGAGTTTCAGGGGGGTGAGAGGATTCACCAGAGACAGATTGGGGAGCAGAACAAGCAGATGGAGTGAAACACACTGCTGAGGGGAGCAATGGGTGGGACAGGAGAGGTCTGCTGTGTCATGTGGGTCCTTGGCTGGGATCAAACTTGTGCTGCAGTGGCTGCAATACCTTCTTAGTGTGCTGCTTTAACCCGTTGCACCACTAGGGAGGACCCTGATATCTTCCCTTTCTCTCTTGAACACATGACAAATCTCCAACAATCTACTAAAACTGTTCCTGTCAAATCACTTGTGAATTCCATATTGCTAACTCCAGTGGCAACTCAGTTCTTATCATACTTAGGAAGAAATCTGCCTTCCCATAATAAAAGTAAACCACATATTAAGATAAAAATTCAATTAGCAGAAAAGATGCTTAATGTTTAACTCCTTGTACAAACATATCTTTATAGACAGTCAATATTATACTCTTCTTGGTTCTTCTAAGCAGTGTAATTCTTTTTGTTTTCGTTGTACATTTGGCCTCTTTGCTGATATATGTTATCGGAACACTTTTCACATGTTATCAACATACCTTTCCAGTAACCTTTTTGGAGTTTACTAATTTATGATAAGGTCTACCTTTTCCTTACCTAAGCATCATATATCTAATCTTTCATAATGAACGTCACGAAATCCCCTTTTCCCTCCTTACCAATAGATAAATCTTGGTATGGGCATTTGGTATTTTCATGTATATAAAATACATACAATATGTGTTATTTTAAAGAATGTGTATTTTTTTTTAAGATTTATTGATTTATGCAGACAAGAACTGGGGTACAGGCCAGAGGTGTGAGGGGTGAGAGGATTCACCAGAGATAGAGTAGGGAGCAGATCGACTAAAATCCACTGCTGAGGGGAGCAGCAGGTGGGTCAGAGAGGTCTGCTGCACCATGTGGGTCATCTCCCTGGCTGGGAATTGAACTCGTGCTGCAGTGACTGTGAACAGCTTCATTATGCTGTGCTTTAACCCATTGTATTAATAGGGAGGTCTCTGTCTTGTTTCTTTTGTGAGATACAACCTTTTCAAACAAATGGTTTATAGGTATATATACAAATGGTTGACAGATAAGGAAATATAAATAGCTCCTACCCGTGTGGAAAAAGTACTTAATGTCATCATAAAAACACAAGCCTAAAGTATAGGATCTTTCTCGCTTCAGATTGATAAAGATTAAACAGACATTTTGGTACAAGCATGTAGAAACTGACACCCTTATATATTGTTGGCTCATTAGATTTATTCCAGTTCTTGTGCATTTAGTCAAGAAAGAGGGGTGCCAGTTTCATGAGCCAACTAATCCACTGGGCTCAATTTCCTTGTAAAAATGATATTTTAATTTCCTCTCTGTAATCTATGCTAACTCAAGAGGATCCTGTCTAGAAATTAAGTCACAAAACCTAGAGTAATCCAGGAAGGGTAGTTAAATTCACTTCAGAATAAGAAAGGTAGGTTTGAAGGTTTGCTGGCTTCTAAGCTTATCCTACATTGTAACCCTACAATTCAGTCATCCTGAATGACATGAGGTAAGAACGGCATGTTTCTGTGACTGGCCACGCCTGCGCAGTGAAGGCAACTGCTAGCAGGTGCAGGTCTTGCTGGATCTGTTGCACTTTTACCCCCAGGCTTGGCCTCAGGGGACAGCCCAGTCCAGGGAAGGGGAACCCAGGGGTACCTGGCAAAGTCCAGATTTTCTGTGGTGAAGAAATGGTTCTGGGGGAGCAGGCTGCAACCAGAAGGAAGAAGGTGGACACCTGGTGGGACCCTCAGTTTCAGTCCAACTGCTCCAACTATAGCCTGAATCAAGGACACGAATTTGTTATTCTATGACTTGGTGCCAATCTTTGGGACTCACGCAAGCAGTTTTCCACAGTGTTAAAGCGGCACATGATCAACACCCAGAAGGAAGAGCCAGGGCTGGGGGCTGGGCCTGACCTGCAGCCTCATGGCTTCCTGTTCTCCAGCATCCCCACGCAGCTGGAGTTCCAAGCTCACAAGCAGGTCCTCCACCCTTTCTTCCTCTCACTTAGCCCCAGACGGGGGCAGCCAGCCAAAGGGAGCTGGAGCCACCAACTGGAACCTTGCCAAATTTCTGCAGTTTCAGTTAAACAAAGAGAGCATTTCAACTTTGCATTTTATCTAAATTAAATAGGTGCTTTTGGGAAGTGTGAAAGGGAATCCTCTCCCAAGGATGTCCGTCCAGCCAGCCAGCCAGCCAGCCAAGTTCATGGTGCCAGTTGGCAATTCACTGCCTCAGCTCCAAATGCATCCTTCAATATTTGCTTTGTGACATTAACCTAAAAACTTAGGAAGTTGTTAAAAAGGCAAGACATGTTTATTTGGGATCAAAGAATTGCAATTCGGGGCATACAGTTTCAGGAAAAAGACTAGAATGTGCCCCAAGGAGGGACAATCATCAAGGATTTCTATGGAGGAGAAAATGAGGCATCTGGTTAAAGAAGCAAATGTTAATATTTGGGGTGCACAACTGGTTACTCATCTTATTCTTTTGGCAAAAGGCCCATAGTATTCAGTCTCCATGATCCAGATGACTTTTCGTAGTGATGATGGATGTGATTCTTTAAATTGCCTCCTTAAGCATAATGAAGTTTCTCAATAAATGGTGCTGGAAGGATAAGGAGACTTTATAAAAAAAAAATTAAGATTTATTTTTATTTACTTATGCACACAAGAACTGTGTGTAGGCCAGAGGTATGGGAGTGGAGGTCTGTGTGTGTGTGTTTGTGTGTGTCTGTGTGTGAGAGAGAGAGGATTCCCCAGAGACAGAGTGGGGAGCAGAACAGGTGGATCAACTGAAATCCACTGCTGAGGGGAGCAGCGGATGAGACAGGAGAGGTTGGTTGCTCCATATGGGTCGGCTCCCTGGCTGGGAATTGAGCTCAGGTCACAGACATGGTAAGACTCCCTACACTACCAGGGAGGCCCTAAGGAGACTTCTGGTCCCAGGGGCTACACCATAAGTCAGCAGCGTAGCAGAAGGGCAACTGGGCTTGTCCGCACCGAGTGCTGCACCCACAGTGCAGGCCCCCTCAGCTGTGCACAGACCCTCAGCCAGCTGAGGTGATCACTTTCCACAAGACCATATGTCTGGCTGCCTCTGAACACTCACTTATCTGGTAAAAAACAGAAAAAAAAAAAACTATGGCTCACTGGAGGGTTGTCCCCTGCCTGGGACTTCACATTCACACCAACTTTGGCCTGCACAAATGTTTCTCTCCTAGACATTGAACTGCAACTTTGCTTCTAGTAGACCTGAGCAAAGTTTTTCCGTCCTCAGCTCCGGTTCTTACAGCTTTCATTTTTTTACTCTAATAGTCTTTACATTAAACTTTCCTTGTGTAAATCAATGTGTGGTTTCTGCCTTCTGATAGAAGTCAGATTGATAGACTTAATAAACATCAACATTGATTATGTCAGTGTGCTGGGTAGTAATAAGACCAACAAGAAACTTGCTTTTACAAACCTAAGATTCTGAATCGGCTGTTGACTAACACTGAACTCACAAGCTAGACTCAGTCATGCAAAATGTTGAGGCAGAATACTCCAAGCACAAGAAGACATCCGTCTTCTAAAGAACAAGTATAAAGAAGTGGCAGTGAACTTGATATATGTAACAGAGACCAGGGGTAGAGACTTCAGTGAATAACCAGTAGCAAGAGATGAAGTGGAAGAAACAAGCCTTAGGTGGGGTAACCTTGACTTTCTGCCAGGGCAGTTTTGAAAATGAATAAAAGCAACCTGTTCAGTCACACCAGGATAGTAGCAGTAACTTGGGGTGTACCATCACCTAATTGATCGGCTATAAGGAAGAGTCTGGACACCCATGAGTGTGATGAAATGCGATCAGATTTTCAGCAAGAGACTGACATGATCCAATTTTAAGAGATCATTTTGGTTACATGAAGATGAATTGGAATAAGACCTCACTTCAGGGGCCTAGATAAAAGTCCTAGAAACTGCAACTTTAAATGAAGCAACCTCTACTGATGAAGACAGGTTTTCATAAGGGCCCACGTTGGCTGGGACTTTTTTCTCATCAACATTTTGGGAGTTTGGGGGCTTTCATTCCCTCTAGTATACAAAGTACCACAGTATAAAGGCTATCTGTGAGTGTGTGTATGTGGGGGGAGGGGGTTGGTTCAGGAAGGCTTTATGGAGCTCACCCTGGGGCTGGGTAGAAATAAAAGTAGCCATTCACATGTTTTCAGTAACTGATGAGATTGGAGGGAGGGAGGGAACGAAGTCATGGGGATGCTTTCATATAAAAATGGGAGCTAAGAAATGGTTAAACACTTGGCCCTGGTGGTGGTTGTGGTGGGGGGTAGTGTTACAGACAGGAGGAAGTAGGAAAGAGCATAGGGAAAAGTTTCCCCTGGGGAAAGCAAGCGCCATCATTAATATTCAAAGCAACACACTGAGGCCTAGTCACTTCACCTGCATATAAACGATATTGCTACCTGCCCTTGTGCAAGACTCTAATACACCTGCTCACGTTACAGTAGGTACCAAGTGGCCAAACCAACACTTAATGCTGATTTTATTGTAAAAGGACAAAAACAAAACAAAGCCAGGCCTGTGATGTCGTATATACATTCAGAATTTTTATTTCAAAACAACCACAGTAACATTAATAGAAAATCCATTTGGAAATATTCACAATGGGAAAACTTCCACAATGCATTACTGCCAACCACCGTTTTTTGAGGTGCCAGAAGCAAAGGTGCAGTTAGAGGAACCTCACCTGTTCCAGCAAAGCCCCATACCATAGATACAAGGCTTACCGCCAGAGGGAATGACAAGAACTAAAATACTGACCTAGGCAAGGGTTTGGTTAATTGGTCTGAAATAGGTAAGCACCAAGGAAGGAAGGAAGGGAGATCAAGCAACCTATGAAAAAGGGGAAGAGAAGGTTAAGTGTCTTCAGGGACTCATCTCCATTTTTACAAATTCGGGGAAACCAGGTGATTATGGAGGTGTTCCATTGAGTTGTGGCAAGCCTTAACCCCTCCATCTCATCCAGTAGTCCAAGACACTCCAACACTGGACTACATCTTATTCCTTATCCCCTTAAAAAAAGAATGCCTCTCCCAAGACTCCCACCCCGAACCCTCAGAAGGTAACATATCCTGATCTCATTCTTCCCTACTCCCATTACCTGAGTCTAGAGTGAGGTGGAGTCCTCCACCCTTAATCTCAAGATTTAGGGCGCTCCCCCTCCCACCATCCAACAAGGAAAGGCAGCCGGATGAGATGGAACTGTAAAGTTTGGAAGAAAACCAGATGCAAATTTCACCCAACAGAGGCAGTGTTATTTCTATATAGAGGGCGGAGTTTTAACACAGTCAATCCTAAGTGGGCGATAGGAACACAGAGGAAGCAAGTTACCGATACTTCCACCCGGAGCAAAGTGACAGTGCACGTACATTCATACTCAAGTGTGGGCCACACTGCACATTACTCACACTAGCTTAAATGTGTTTTGTAGGCGGCTCAAGTCCTCTAAGGGCACTTGACAGAACACTATGGTAACATGGTAACAAGGGTAACTTGACAGGCAAGTCATCAACAAGCATGCGATGACCCTAAAGTAACATACTTAAACTAGATAATAACCTTTATTACCTAATAACCAGAGCTGAGGTTACAGATTCCAAATTTGCTTGAACATTCTCCTCTGAATCTTTTTTTTAAAGCTACAGGTTAAAACAAAATAACCAACTAAAATCTCCTAGAGAACAAAATGGAGAAATATTGAACATCTACAAAGAACCAATACTTTAGGTTACTCATTAGGAGAGCTTAATCACCAGAAGGGTGGTGGGCATACTTAATAAAAAAAAAAAAGAAAAAGAAAAAAGTGAGTCCACTAAAAGAGAAAAAGTTGTTTGGTCCAGTGAGGGGACAGAGGATTTCTAGAAATAATCTTCCCTTCTCTGGACTCCATTCAAAATTAGATCCCATCAACCACCATTACCTACTATGACCACCTTGGCATAACCCCAGATTTCAAGTAATAACTACATATAATCTTAAAGAGAAAAGTTCCAAAGGAAACCAGTAGCTTCTTTATACAGGCACATGACTTCTGAGAAATTACTCTTCATAGTTTCTATCTGAAGGACAGAAATTGTTAAGAGGCACCGTGCAAATTTCCCACACCCTTTCTAATACATATTCCATTTCTCAATTTTTCCTGGATTGCACCGTAACCTCTCCAGCATCAATCTCCCAGCCTATAGCCTCTTTTTAAACACCTCCCTCTAACTTCAATTTCCGTATGTTTTCATTATTTGGTAAAATTACTTTATTTAAAAAAATAAATATTTATGCCATAAAACCAGAAGATAAAATAAATAAAACACAGGTTATTTTGCTCTGCAGAGCTGTATGGAAGTGAGGAAGGTGCTCTTAGATACTCCTCTTCTGCTCACACTCTCATGTATACCTGCTTCCTGGGAAGCCTAAGTTTGGGGGAACTGTACCCTCACTTTTACTCCCCCACAGGCTCTCCTGAGGTAATACTGGACTCTAAGAGAGGAGTTGCTGACAAAGCTGTCAAATGCCAAGTGGCCAGTCCTTCCAGAAGTGAAGGTAGGTTCACTTGGTCTCTCCTAAACAGAAGAGTGTCCAAGAAACGAGTGTTTAAAAGCCATTGAGAACACAACTAACCCTAGCATTGACCCACGAGCACACCCTGAGCGCTCACAAGTGTGGGATGACAGGAATCATGTAGCAGCATTCAGAAACAGTCCTGGGTCACAACCTGATGAGGTCTCCCCCGACTCAGGGAGAGGTCGCTTTTTCATGTTGGGAGGGAGGTGGGAAGGAGGTATGGCTTAGACATTGGTGCTGGTCTCCTTAACAGGCTGGATGCTGTTCATCTCCACAACGGGACCCTTCTCCGCCCTGTCAGCATCCTGCACCTGCCCTTCAAACGCCCGTGTAATGTCTTCGAAAGTCCTGCCACGGGTCTCAGGGACTTTGAAGAAGGTGAAGACCAAGAAGATAATGAGGAAGATGGTGAAGACAATAAAAACGTAGGCTCCTAAGTAGTACTAGTGAAAGAAGATGAGAAAGAAGTGTCAACATAGAACTCAAGTCATTGACCAAATCAAATCCAGTTGCCCTCACACCCACATTTCCAAGAGACTTTATGCACAACCCTCGAGTCCACTAATTTTCTGTCTTTCTGTAATTTGGGGTCATTTTCTTATTCTTTAGTTAGTTGCTTCCAAATAACTGTATTTTAGGGCTTTTTGATGCTTACTTTTAAAACTTGGGTTTCTGAAAGACTCATGAAAATAGATGTACCTCAGATGCAGTTTTCTTTACTTACCCAGTTAGTTAGCGTCAGATCATTTTTAGGACCCATCTGATTCATAAAAGCCCAAGCTGGGTGATTGTTTAAGATCATAAAGACATTAATGGTAACCCAAATTATGGATTTTCAAGTATTCTGTTGGAATCTTTTGAGGCTTGTAAGTATCACTTTTTTTTTCTGAGCAAAATTTTGCCTGTACCATCTCAGACTTGTCATGTTTTCAAAGTTCCCAGTTTTGCCCTCCTGCTTCAATATTTTGGGCTGCTGTTGTTGCTTCTTTTTCTATGTGTCATGAAAATGGGGGAAGGGTATCTAGTTTAAAGCTCTTGATATCTGAGCCTTCATGGCACTAGTCACCATTATTATGGTATGTCTTACACACATTGGCCTTGGTGGGTCAGGATGAATCTTGTTTTAATGTACTTACTGCAGCTGAAGGGAAGAGCAGTCCAACCAAAAAGTTGGAGGTCCAGTTGGAACAACCAGCCACTGCCATGGCAGCTGGGCGGGGTCCCTGGCTGAAGAGTTCGGCTACAATAAACCATGGAATAGGACCTGGACCAATTTCAAAAAAAGCCACAAACAACAAGATAGCTGCAATGCAGATAAATCTCATCCAGGTATAATCACCCTGTAAAAAGAAGGAACAGAAAAGTTAAGGAAAAATCAGCAAGAACAAGGAGAATGCAGCTTCCTGGAAGAGTATGGGCCGGTATTGAAGAGCAACTCTTATCCTGTGCTATATGGAGACACCAGACTAAATTGTCCAGAAGTTTTGGGTTTTTGAATCCCAGTTGTAGGATTGCACATGTCATTGTGTACCAAGACCATTTCATCATCTCTAAGATGGGAATGGTAATTGTCTTAGGATGACATGAAGCATTAAATAGTTCATTTTATAAGCACTATGCTATGTAGATCAACTACTATAAGGATCATGGCAATTTAATTGACCACCTTTTAAAATTCTGGCCATGTGCTTCTTCCAAAGTTGACTCTCATTTCCACCACCAACTCCTCACCCAGTCCCAGAGATTAAACTGTCGTCTCCCTCTCTTGAATTCCTTTTTTCCTTGAATTCTTCTCACTTACCTTTAATAACAACGAAACAGTCATGAGGATAGAACAAACAGCCATCCCTCCAAGGCCTACTAGGTGGAGAGTCCTCCTCCCTGCTTTCTCCACCAGAAATAGCTGAAAGAAAATAACAGAAATATTTGACCAGAAGTCCCTGAATCTGCCTTCCCCACAGTGGGACCCTCGTGATAGTCACGGTCCCCCTTTCCGGTCCCAAGCTCAAAGCCCCTGCATTATCTCTTCTATAACACCGTCATTTCCATCCATTCCATATTTGCTTGAAGAGAATGAAGATGACTTATACCCACATTATCTTTTCCCCAAAGATGAATTAAGTTCTCTACTGAAAAACGTATGGTAGGGAGTTTACAAGGACATGTCACCCCTCTCTGAACAGGTACAGCCCAAATTCCTTTCACCCCACCAAATTGTATAATCCATCCGACTTACAGAAACTACAGTGAAGAAAGTGTTAACCACACCCGCCCCGATGGTGGCGTAGATGGGCTCTTTGACACCTGCATCTTTGAAGATTCCTGTGGAGTAATAGAATACCTGGTAGGAAACAAAAGCAGATGCAACTTTGAAATAGCAACTATGCATAGCAATGAAATAAATTCAAAAGTCCTAGGAGGTAGGAAGTCCTTTCCACATTTTTTTTAAAATTCAGCCTTTCCGGCCAGTGAATAATCCAGTGATGACATCTAGTTTATGGGGAAACAGTTAAAACTAGCAATGAACATGACAATTTTCAAAGTATACACATCAAAAACCTAATGGACACATCCACTCTATCCTACGTCTTACCCTTCTGGCTTTTTCAGGGGAAATTAGAGAACATCAAAGGCAGGTGGGAAAGGTGGTCTTCCCAAACTATCTCCTGAGGTGAGGGGTCTGCCTTGCAGAATGTTCACCCATCACTGGTCCATTCTGCAGGACTGGACAGGGCAGGCACGAGGTATCAAGGACTTCCTACCCCAAGGAGATGCTCATCCCAGGACCATGCATTTGCATCTACCTGTCCCACTCTTGAATCCCAGCCCTGGTGCACTACAAAATCTTTGAGTGTATTTTATTTTAATTTTTTTGGAAGAGGAAGGATCAAATCAAGGGAGAGAAGAGAGCAAAAGACTGTGGTGATGAATAATACAAAGGCGACTTCCAAATGCTAGCTTCTCTTTGTCCCTCATTTTAAATAATCAGCCACTATATTCCAGCTATAAAAAATATAGAATGGAAAGGTCAGCTTAGTCAGAAGTTGTCCACGTAATCGAGGACCTCCTGAATTGATTTCCGAATTGTTTCCCAGGGATTTACACCAGTTTTGGGACTGTAAGGTCCAGGCTGGGGGTGGGGAGGATACCAAAGCACCCCAAGTTCCCAGCTCTAGTTTGGGGAAAGATCTACTTATCAACTGATGACATCTTATGAGACAGATCAGAGAGGACCGTAAATGAAAAGTGAGTAGCCCCAAGACGATCCATGAAAATTAGATGTATTTGTGATGCGCTATAGTCAGAGCCTGAAAGAGGACAAGGCCAGAAGACCCAAACTACAGATGACCAATGTTTCTTTTAACCTATTTTCTCATGTTTCCTTGTGTGAAACATGTATTATAGAAATCACTTTAAGAAATGAAAACCTAACCAGATCCCAGGCGGGCGTCCTGTGGGAAACATGTGGATACTCACGGCGTTGATCCCAGACAGCTGCTGGGAGAGCTGCAGCATGATGGAGATGATGATGGGCTGCCGGTAGCTGCGCACGCGGAAGAGATCCAGGATGGTGGCTTTCTTTTCCTGTGCCATCCTCACACTCTCGTCTTTCATCTCCTGGATTTCCGGAGTCACATCCTGGGTGCCCCACAGATGCTGGAGGACTAGCGAGAAAAGTAAAAAGACAAGGTATCACTCCCAGTTTACGTTTCCGCTAAGGCAGCTGGAAAGAGTCCCGGATACAGAGACCAGGCAGCACCGTGCCTTAACTTGCTTTCTCGCCTCATTCCTGAGGGGCTGCAAGTCTGACTTCGCATCAGTAGAGAACTCTCCATTTGGGCAAGTTGATGACAAACACAGGTTTAAAATCCCACCCTAACACAAATCACCACCCTACAATTTTTTTTTTTTTGGGCATAGAAGAACTGGGGTATATGTCAAAGGTATGTGTGGGGCAGTGAGAGGATTCACCAGAGAGAATGGGGAGCAGAACAGATCGACTGAAACAGAGCGGGTGAGAAAGGAGAGGTCTGCTGTGCCATGTGGCTCAGCTCCTTGTCCAGGGGGCCAACTCAGGCATTACCGGGATGCTGTGGTGGTGCTGAGGCAACCACGGAGACAACCGCCTACAATTCTTATCGTGAAGGTGTGAAGGAGTGAAGGATACTTACCCGCTTTAGCTCTGTCCTCCTCCTTTCTGTTAATGAGCAAGAATCTAGGACTCTCAGGGCAAAACGGAAGGGATACGCTTTGGATGATGGCAGGAACAATGGTCAAGCCCAGAAGCAGGGGCCAGAGCTCCTCAGTTCCCAAGATGCCTTTCAGACCGAAGATCTAGGAAAAAAAAAACAAAACAGACAATACTATCAATCCCACACTAGACTGGCCACAAATCCATCTTAAAAATATTTTTTCTTTTACCACAGGCAAAGATAAACTGCTCTTTTTCCTTGCTCTGCCCTGCCTGCTTCTTTAGCTGCCTGTGAACGAGTTTGAAAAATAACTGAAACTTAGCTAAAGTTGAAATTAGGTAAAGTAATCCTATGAACCATGAACTCATCCTATTTGGTATAAGTCCTAGATTACCTGGGCCACCAGAATTCCCACGACGATGCCTAGCTGGTTGAGGGTACCAAAGGCTCCCCGAAGGGCAGTTGGCGACACCTCTCCAATGTACATGGGCACAAAACCAGTGCAGAGTCCGCAGAAGAGACCAATGATCAGCCGACCCAGGATCAGCATTTCAACTGACTCTGCTAATTTACAGAAACCCATTAAGCAGCCTCCTGTGATGGCCAACAGGTTGACAATGAGCATTGAATTGCGCCTGAAAGGTTAAATCAAACAATCAAAGTTAGCATAACAGGCCTGATCTCTCCCTTTCTCATGTGACTCCACTCCATGTCCTTGTACCTCTTTTTCAGTCTAACTTTTACAGTTTATTATTTCTTAAAAGATTTCTCATTTATTTATGCAGATTAAGAACTGGGGCGTAGGCCAGGGGTGTGGCAGAGGTGACAGGATTCAGAGTAAGGAGAACAGGCAGATTTACTGACGCATACTGCTGCGGGGAGAAGGGAGTGACACAGGAGAGGTCTGCTGTGCCATGTGGGTCTCATCACCTCCCTGGCTGGGGACTGAACTGTGCTGCAGTGGCTGCAGATAGCTTCATAATGCTGAGACTTAACCCTTGCACCACACCAGGGCGGCCTTTTCCACTGTATTATAAGGATGTTTCTAGTTAAAAATCACCGGGATCTATGGTTCTTACACCTTATATGCAAACCCACCTAGAGTATTTGAGCTTAAGCAAATCTACTTGAGCTTAAGAGCAAATACTCTTAAGTCGCAAATACAGTGTAGGATTTTAGCAAGCCCCAGGCCAGTAGTTCTCCAGGAGGTCCATGACTTAACAACCTTGGACCTCCCTGGTGATCTAGGGGTTAAGTCTCAGTACTATCACCACAGCAGCCTGAGCTAGATCCCCAGTCAGAAGCTAGCCCACATATGGCACAACAGACCAGACCCCTCCTATCTCACCTGCTGCTCCCCCCAGCAGTGTATTTCAGTAGACCTGCTTGTTCTGCTCTCCACTCTTGTTTCTGGAAAGTCCTCTCAACCCTCTGGCTGCACCCCAGTTCTTCTATGCAAAAATAACTACAGGACAGATCAGCGCTGAAAAGCCACTGGTGATTTGGAGAACAAGCACTCTGAAATTTCATTGGTCTCTCTTGACTGGGGATACTAAAATTGGAATTACTTGAGAAGTACTTAGAAATATGTGGCTTTCTCCCCAGATACTGATTTAAATTGACTTGGGCATGGGACTTTTTAAAAAGCAAACAACTTCCAATCTTGTATATAAAGTATGTTTTTGGAAAATTCCAGTGGACTTTATCATCAGGACCAGTTGGCCTAGGTTTCCCCTCATCAAAATGTGAGCTACCCTCAACTCAAGCACACCATCACCTCCTGGCCCCAATTCTCCACACCTGTCCTCAATGCAACCAGCACAGTTCAGTAGCTTCCTTGCCTGTTTCTGGTCAATACCTGCCAAAGCGGTTGACAAAGAGTCCGACGGAAAAGGAGCCAATCATACCGCCAACGGAGAAGATGGCCACAGACAAGGACCACACTGTCGTGAGCAACACGGTGCTGGGGAACTCTTTTGATCTCGCTTGCAGAGTGATATTCAGAAAGTCCTTTATGATCTGCAAATTAAGATGGTTGGTGAGAGGCAGAGTGTCACAACTGGATTAGGACAAATCGTGGATACCTTCCCCTTCCTGTGAGAACATCCTAATTGTTACTTTATAGGTACAAGACTCAAGGAATGAATAGAAGGGGCTGGAAGAGACAGATGGCATCAGCGAAAACGTTACTAGCTCTGAAAAGCAGAGAATTTTCTTTGTCCTAACTACCCTCGTAGGAAGCTGCACTGATCAGTGGCTACCCCGCCTTCCTGAGAGCCACCCACATGATCAGTGGCTACCGGGTCCTCCTGAGAGCCACCCACTTCTCTCTATAACAAACCCCTAAGGAATAATAGTGCATCACCATGGGGTGAGAAAAACACCAAGTAGTGCAGAGAGTCTAAGAGAGCCATGAGCTTTTTTTGCTTAATTAGTGATTCAACGACATGTTGCTGCCAATCTCAGCAAACTAGAAACCAACTTTGTTTAAACTCTTAATTCTTGAAACCCCTACTGAAAGGAGAATAATCCCCCTATTCTAAATTCTAACTCCGGGTGCCTGGCACTCACCATCTCAGGAGCATTGATGACTCCAGTGTTGAAGCCAAACTGGAAGGAGCCTATTGTAGCCACGGTGATGGCAAAGACCAGATGCGCGGTCACCTGAGCGGAAAAGAGGAAGGAAGGAAACAGTCAGTAGAGCTTTTCATTGATGACTGTCTTATTAATTCAAGACATGTATTGGCACTTGGCCTAGGAGTGGCAGGTAAAGAGCAAAAACCTTATGAGATTAGGCAATACATGGGAAACAGAACAGATCACAATAACGAGCTGGTGTTGAGGTACAGACTCAGGGAACTGGAACACACCTGGGAACAGGGACCGACATGTGGGAAAAGGAGAAAAGAGGAACCGAATGAGTGGATTTGGAAGCATTCAAAAGAAAGAGAAAGAGTTGGGCTCAAATAGGATTTAGGCCAGTAGAGGAAAACAGTTTTAGAATTCTTTAAGAACAATTGTTTTGGAGACAGCTTAAACCAGTGTCGTCTCAGCCGTATCCGATTCCCCAATTCCACAAAGGTGGTGCTAGGTGCCTTCACCCCTGGGATACTCCAGAGCATCTTTCCGGGTCCATGCTCCACAGAATCTACCCTCAGCACCCAGGCCTCACTTGGAATTCTTTACTGAATACTGCACTGCTAGCGCCCACCCAGCAGGGGGCGAAAACAAATCACTCCCAAACCAACAGATAATTTCTTGAAGCGGGGTGCGGGGAGAATGAGCAATCAACTGAGACATCTCTCTAACCTCCGCAGCAATAAAACAAGTGGGTGTTGTCTTAACTCTCAACCTCAAGATAGCCCAATTTTTATGTCTGACGACATCCACTGGGAATTGTTCTTATCTTATACTCCTTGTCTCTCAGGCCAGACAGTGGCAGGTTAGGACTTCAGTTCTCCAAGTTAACCTTGCCTCTGGGCAATCAGGGTTAGTGCCCAGGCAGGTCCCCTGTCAGCTAGTGCTAAGCTTTTTGTTTAATCCTGACCCCTTTCTGAAAGAAAAACGTCCTGCTTTCCTCATCACCTACTAACCTTGAGGGCCTCTTCCCATTTTCATCCCTTCTTTTATCTGCCTTTATTTTCAATTAAGTTGACAATAGCAAAAATGCCTTTCTCCCTCCTAATAACAAATACATGCCACTTAACAGCCTCAATAAAATCTGCACGTTTAACCCACATAAAAACAAGGACAACTGGACATCTCCTTAGAATCCAGGGCATCTTGTAGGTTACTGAACAGATGGTTGGATACTACCCGTGTCCCCAAATAAATCCCAGGTTCCTTTCCAAGGTCTAATACTTCCAGAGAAATTCAAGTTGGCCGGGAACCCACACTTAAAATCAATATGACCAAACAGCCCCCAACACTCCGTTGCTCGTAATTACGTAAAATAAGCCTGGGAAGGAAATAAATACTATTTATCCCAGGATAGTCCCTGTAACGGAAAGTGAACAGGGTAGGAATTAATCCTTTACAGGCTATGACATTCTGAAAGAGCTGGTTTGAACTCCGGTATTATTGTCGGCAGCAAAGAAATGAAAAGGCCTTACATTTAAGATGGCTAGGTGACTTAGAATAAATCCAGCACTGCCATCAGCATGAAGGCTTGCCTTCCTGATATCCCCCCAAAAAGCAAAAATAATCGGAAATGACATTATCCTTACCCTGTAGGTCCCCATGGCCCTAATTTCATCAGATTCAAATCTTCAAGATCGGCCTAGGAGTGGGATTCCAGGGATGCCTCTTCCAGCCAGCAAGCCCTCCAAAATGTCCTCGTCCTCCGCAGCTAGCTTTCCTCGGTCTCTCAGCGTTGCCTACTTCGCCCTCCCTCTCTTGGATGCGAGGCCAGCCATCACCCATTTATAATCTCCGCAAAGGGAGGAGCCAGATAGCGGCCGAGCCTCCCTGCCCCACCCCGACCTCCCGCCCCAAGTAATCTCGTGACTGCTCAGAATTTTTACGTCCCATCTCGTCCCCCACCCAAAGCAACGACTTAATCCCTCCCCTCCGTTTCCAAAACCACATCCTTACAGATCCAAACCCCCCCCCCTTTTTTTTTTTTTAGCTCTTTTTTTCTCTTTAAAACAGCGGGAGCCTCTTAGTTTCACAGACAAAATGCCACCAGAAAAGCCTCGAGGGAGGGCAAACACGTTTTTGCTTCTGGCATCGGCTCAGAATTGAACCCATCGATTCGGAGGTGAGAATAAATGCTGACTCTATGAGACAAAGTCGAGAGGGTGCTACTACCCGAGTTAAGGTTGTTTAAAGTAAAGTGTAAGCAGAAAGGACTCAGTAATTCTATGAATTTAACTGGCTTTTCTGATTGTAAGCTAGGTCTACAGTCATGACAAGGACAGTCGGAAAGAAAAAAGGCAAGATTTGGGCCCGTTTGGGGCTCTGCTTGTCCTCTGATGAGCATCACTTCTCCCAGGAAGAGGGGACAAGCCTGTGTGGGAGACAGACCCGGGGCTCCCGGGCTTTGGACCGCCTTCACCACCCATCCTGATTTCTGCACATTCTGCAACCTTTGCCTCTAGTCTCAGGGTCACAGCAGCTAGAGTCGGCCCAACCACTAAATTCAGTTGATCAGATATCTGCTGAAAACACATTCTACATGGGGTACGCCCCCCCAGTATTGCTAGCGTTTCCCCTTCCACTTAAAATATGAAAAAGGGACAAGGGCAGTTTGTGATTCTTATACAACTGGAGAGAACGATCAACAATCCATTAGTTACACTGTGATTTTCTGGAAAGTTGGGGGATGAAGATGCGATTACTAAGCTATACGTGCAAATTGAAGGAGTAGAATTAACAGGGGAAACGAGAAAGGACACAGGTGGGGGATTACAGGGGACGGAGGAGTGGTCAGCGCTCGAGTCAACAGAACAGAACAATTTAGCTGTGGGTGACGAGTTGAATAAAGGAGAGATAGCATCAGGGCTTGCAGGGAGGGTCAGCGGTCAAATCCCCAACTCCCATTAGCCTAGCAACGCTTTCGGGCTTGCGGGAGAGGGTGTGGAGAGCAAAATTCCTAGTAACAGCTCGACTTTTTCTAAGTAGTATGCTAGAGGAAGTGCATCTTTCTTTCGGATTGTGCTTGTCGTTTCAGATTTCAAACTGCTGCTCTGGATCAGAAATTACCCGATTATGTTGTTTCCTTCCCTTATAATAAGAGGACATTTTCTAAATCGGTAAGGAGTCGAGTGAAACGAGTGAAACGTGACATCTAAGAAAACCTCTCTGAGGTCACACCTCCCCCCTCCCCTCCACCTCCCCAGTTCCTTCCAGGAAATTCTGAGCTCAGAGGCCCCTTTGTTACCAAGGCAACTGATTTGTGCAGCCAAAGGAAAAAAAATATCCCATGTGGCTGGACTGTCCAGTAGGATTATAACTTGAGCCACTTACGTAATATAAAATTTTCTAGTAGTCACTTTAAATTTTTTATTTATAATATAATAGTTTATTTTGACATCATTTTGTGCCTTTTTCCATCTCAGTTGTAAGCCGTGGGCTTCCACATCACCATATTACCGGTGTGCCATCATCATAGTCCAGTGCACTTCCCTCTCCCCCCTTAGTCACTTTAAATTTTTTATAGAAGTTAATTTGAATAATTATTGCCTTTGACCTGATTTATTCCAAATAATAGCTTTTAGATTGCAATCAATAGAAGAACTATGTAAGATAGCTTACCTTTTCTTTGTAAATCTCCCCCACCAAGGTTTTACCTACAGCAAAGCTCCATTTTAGACTCTCAGGTTTCTACAGTTAAAGTAATATGTTGTTCTAGCAGGACAGCAAAATTATGTATAATGGGAAAATATTTTAATTGCTTCCATTTTAATGGACTAAAATGACAAGTCCTCAGTCCCACCAGCTCCATGTGGAAGCTCAACAGCCATGTGAGCTGGTGGCTCTGGTGATGTAGAGTTAGACTGATGCAAGAACTTTTATTTTCCTCCTGTAAATCAGTTTCTTTTCTTCTTCTTCTTCTTCTTCTTCTTCTTTTTTAAAAGATTTATTTACAATGTATTTATGCATACAAGAGCTGGGGTACAACCAGAAGTGTAGGGTCAGGGTGAGAGTGTAACAGGGTGATCCTCAGGAAAAGGGGAAGATAAGGAAAGGGGAGGTTCCAGGAAAAGGGGATAGTCAGAAATGGCCAGACAAGTCTGGGAAGAAAAGAACAAAGTCAAAATCTAGATAAACGCTGTCACAGTGAACCTCCACATGTCTCTCTCATCCACATCTGTTTCAACTAGTCCAGGACCAAGAAACAAGACAAAGCTTCTTCACATGTCTCTGCTCCATGAGGCTCTCTCAGGTCACCTTCTGGTTCCCTGTCCTGCTTCCATCCTCTTCAATGTCCCCTCCAGATTCTTCTCCTCCCTGCTCAGCTCCACCTTCCTTCTTGGTGGGGCAGGGAACCTGAAGCCTTCTCTTTTCCTGGGGACCACGCAATTACAATAGGATTCACCAGAGACAGAGTGGGGAGCAGAACAGGTGGAGCTACTGAAATACACTGCTGTGGAGAAGCAGTAGGCTGGTCAGGAGAGGTCTTCTGCCCATGTGGGTCAGCTCCCTGGCTGCAGATAAGCTTCACAGTGCTGAGAGTTAAACCCTTGCACCACCAGGGAGGCTTTAACTCACTTTCTTTTTTTCTTTCTCGCCCTAATCTTAGGATAATAATTCTTTAACGTTTTTGCCGGCACCCGTGGCACACAGAAAAGAAAGGCTACTGTGCTTTACATTGTATTACTCAGAGCTGGTGCCATGTTATGCCACAACGGTCTTTGCTTCGGTAATTATTTGCCCAGTATTTGTTGAAAGAATACATGAGTTAATTGTGAGGGCCCTGAATTAGAGCTATCCCAAATGTGGTAAACAATGTGGAGAAAGATAATGCTGAAGAGCAAGTTTTAGAAATTTGAAATCTGTAGGCTATTTTCTTGGTTAAAAAAAGTTGGGGGGGGCGAAGAAGAGAGAAATCTGAAACCTGTTTTCTCTGGCTAATCCTCATTCTGAGAAAATTATCTTTGAAAAAGCTAAGTAAGCTAGCTGGTAGGAAGAGAATCTTCTACTTCTACCTATCTATATTTTAAAGATAACTGTTATTAAGCTGAATCTCAGGAATCTCATATGTGTTCTGAATATATTGAAACAAATAGTCCTTCAGCATTCATTCAGAACCTAATCAACTCTCCTCCTTCAGAAACCTGTGCAGTACTGGGCTTGTCCCAAGCAAAACCCCCATTTAGGCAATCCTCGCCCCAGGCAGCAGATAATTATTGCTCAATACAATGCTTTGTCCATATCCTTGGGGGAGATGGGCTGGTTGATTGGGGTCTTTGATGCACTTACGAGTGTCCACTAGTCTCACTCTGGCACAGCCCTAGTTATCAACCTAGAAGGGAGTGTGTAGGAGACACCAGCAAGGAGGTCCTAAATCACATATCTTGTGTACTTGGTTCCTGGGAGACACTTCCAACTTTCTAAAAACAAAGAGAGAAGAAACATGGTGGATGTATTTCAGAATAGAGTAGGCTGAGAAGGAATGTTGTGAAATTCCCACCTAATCATTTAATGTAGGTCTGCTTAGAAAAAAGTAAATGAATAATGGTCTATGATCGCCAACAGATAGCTGCAAATCTTTAGTCTCATCCTAGTTTTGTGCTGCTGGAAGAAGGATGTTTGCTAGTGTGATAACCAAATGGAGAAACAAACAAACCAAAGTCCTAATATCAGGGAAAACAGGGCTTTAAACACTTAGAGGGAACTGGCGGCGCACAAATGGCAAGTGATTGCTCTAAAGACTGCTGAAGTTAATTCTACTCTTTGTAATATTTCTCAGAAAGAAAACTGTCATCACCAGTTGCTATTCTTAAAACTTCACTTACTAGGGTAGGTATAAACAGTTAATTTTGAATCTGAAAACACTGCAGAAAATAAGCCCTCAGGGTGAAGAAGAAAAAAATTTCAGAAATGTTGATTTTCCTGTCTACACTGGGTTTCAACCATTCATTATTCTAATTGATCCTCCAGGACCTAATCCCTGTTCCCAGGCCCCTTATGAGAGGTTGACCCTTCTCCAGTTTCTATTAAAAAAATGAATCCATCACATACTAGTGTTACATGAATTACACTAACTCACAATTCTAATTGTACCCATCTTCTATTCAAACATCGTCAGTGGTTATTGAGTAAGACCTAGACCAGTGCCATGCAACAGAAAAAAAAAATGTGAGCCACATATGAAATTTCAAAATTTCCATTAGTCATATTAAACATATATTAAAAATGAGTGGTTAATTTGAATATTGTGTTTTTAATCTAGTTTATCCCACATGTTCTCATTTCAACATGTAATGAATATAAGACATTATTAAGACATTGTACTTTTTTGGGTAATAGATCTTTGAAACCCACTTTATATTTTACATTTGGCAAACACATTTTAATCAGGACACTCAACTTCCAACAATCAAAGAGAAATAACCTCTTAAGTTAGTATTTAGCAAAAATATTTTACACTACTGCAGTTTTTTTGTACAAACCTAAATGACTTACTGTAAAATGGAATCGAATTAAGTCAGAGGAAAAAGAGAAGTAAATACAGGATGATTTCATTCATATCTGGATTACAGAGAAACAAAGTAAAGGAACAGACAACCAAACCAAACCAAATCCTTGAAATTTGAAGGCAGAAGTGAGGCAGCCAGAGGAGAATATTGAGGAAGGAAATAGGAGGAAAAGCAAAGGAGCAAGAAGACGCTATATACTCTTTTTATCTTTTTTAAAGATTTGTTTACGTATGCATACAGAACTGAGGTATAGACCAGGGGTGTGGG